ATTAATCAAAACAGCCTGGTACTGACATAAAAATGGACACATAGATCAATGGAACAGACAAGGAGGCCAGAAATAAACCTACATATTTATAGTCAATTAATATTCAACAGGGGAAGCAAGCACATATAATGGGCTAAAGATAGTTTATTCAATAAATGGTGTTGGAAAATTGAACAGCTACATGGAGAATGATGAAACTAGGTCACTTTCTTTACACTACACACAAGAATAAATTAAAAGCTGATTAAAGACTTAAATGTTAGACTCCAAACCATAAAAATCCTAGAAGAAGACATAGGCAGCAAAATCTTGGACACTGTTTGTACAAAATTTGTATGGGATATATCTCCCCAGGCAAGGGAAACAAAATAAAAAGTAAACAAAGGTGACTACATCAAACTAAAAAGTTTTGCACAGGAAAGGAAAATATCAGCAAAATAAAAAGACAGCCCGCAGAATGGGAGAATATATCCACCAGTACTTGTGTTAAGGGGTTAATATCCAAAATTTATAAAGAACTTACAAAACTCAACACTAAAAACCAAACAGCCCTATTAAAATTTGGGTAAAGGACCTAAACAGACATTTCTCCAAAGAGGACATACAGATGGTCAGTAGACATATAAAATGATGCTCAATGTCACTAATCATCAGAGAAATGGTAATTAAAACCACAAAGCTCTCATCTCACACCTGTCAGAAATGCTATCATCAATAAATCAACAAACAAGTGCTGGTGAGGATGTGGAGAAAGGGAACCCTGTTGCACCGTTGGTGGGAATGTGGACTGCTGCAGCCACTGTGGAGAGCAGTATGGAGATACCTCAAAAAGTTAAAAATAGTTCTGCCTTTTGACCCAGTGATCCCACTTCTGGGAATATAACTGACAGACCCCAAAACACTAATTCGAAAGAACATAAGCACCCCTATGTTCATTGCAGTGTTATTTATAATCGCCAAGACATGGTAGCAGCTCAAGTGTTCATCAGTAGATGAGTGGGTAAAACAACTATGGGACATTTAAACAATGGAATTCTACTTAGCCACAATAAAAGAAGAAAGTTTTATCCTTTGTGACAGTATGGATGGGTCTGGAGAACATTATGCAAAGTGAAATAAGCCAGTCAGAGAAAAACAAATACCATTTGATTTCACTCGTATGTGGAATCTAATGAACAAACTGAACTAACAAGCAAAATGGAGACAGAGCAGGCAGAATGACAGACAGCTCAGGGGTGGGAGGGAGGTTAGTAGGTAGAGGGACTGAGCAAAAAGGAACAAGGACTCATGGACATGGACAACGGTGTATTGATGGAGGAGGGGAACGGGGTATAAGGGGACAAAATAGTAATGGGAAAAAACAATTAAAAAATAAAAGTAAAACATAAAAAAGAATACTACAACAAAGGTAGTATGTAATAAATAGTTAAAAAAATAAATGTATGTCCTTCTGTGGCACTTGGTGCCCTTATGCTAAGACTTTAATTCAAAATTCCTGCCCTGAATGCTGCTGTGAAACTAGATGTGGAGATTAGAACAACTAACCCCAATCTAGTGTCTGGCATATTTAAAAACTTAGTGTATGATTTAAAAAGTCACAAATTAGTGGGTGTGTGATAGATCTTTTTTTTTTAACAGATCCAGGTATATTGGTAAGTATTTAGAAAAATATTATTTATATCCTAAGAAAAATCCTAGATCCAAAAATAAAAACCAAAAGCAAAAGGAAATAAACTTCAGTATAACAAAAAGAGCAAATAAACTACCAAGAAAAGTTTTTACAGAAAACTAATATCTTTAATATATAAATAGCTTATGCAAACCAATTTAAAAAAAGAACTAAGAGTACCTCTAATAGGTAAATGAAGAAAGGGCATAAGCAGAGAGCAGAAAACGAAAATGGTTAGTGTTCATGTGACACAGTATTCACTTGCACGAGAAATTTTTTTAAAGTAAATTAAAATATAAATGCAACTTTCCTTCAACATCAGAACAGTTAAAAACCCTAACAGTCAATGCTGCCGAGCTCTAGTGACAGAGGTGCACTTAAAACATTGCTGGGGCTGTAAACTACAGGACGACGCACAAGTCAGTTTGTGGTAGTGCGTACGCGAAACCCAGAAGTTTATCCTTGTATTACTATTTATTAATTTTTGTATTCTTTTCCATACAAACAACTGCAAATCTACTTTTGCCCCAGCCTGTAGTGTAACCTTTATGGGGGACAATTTGAAATTATGTTGTCAGATATTTTAAAAAGAAATATACTCTTTGACTTAATGAAATCAGAAATACAGACAAAGATTTGGGTAAAAGGATATTCATTCCAGTTATTTATAATACCAGTCCATTGGGAAATGGTTACATAAGTCCAGAATATATTTTGGGGTATGATGTGAAGTAAGACTTTAAGTGACTTTTTCTCATGTGGCTAACTAATGAACTCAACGTCGTTTACAGACTAGTTAGTTCAACTTTTGCCCGCTGATGTAAGACGACGCCTCTGTCTCTCTGCCTGCACTGGTCTGTTTCTAGCCATTCCATTCTCTTTTGTTGGTCTCCTCACCCCCCATTAATATTACACACACTTAGTAGCACAATTTTAGAAGTCTTGATGTTGCTCAGAACAAGTTTCTCTGCTTTCACATTGTTTTGAGAACATTTTGCTGTCTCCCCTCCTGCTTTTCCTACTCTACATACAGTTTAGAAACAGCTTATTAAGATCTCCCACTCTCAATATTTTTTTGAGATTTTGAATACAATTAATTTATGGATACATTTCAGAGAAGTGACATCTTTTGGATATCAAGACTTCCCATCTAAGAACGCGATAGAAGTCTTCATTTATTATCTGTATTCTTTGTGTGTGGGTATGTGTGTATATATATATATATATACAGACATATGTATATGTGTACATATGTATGTAAACACACACATCTTAATGGCTCATACAAGTTTTGTTATATTTATTTCTTACAGGAACCTCATATTTTATTTCTATTATAAATGGTATCTTAAAATTTTAACTTTCTGTTTTTGGCTGGTATAGACAAATTCTTTGTATAATTATCTCATTCTAGCAACTTAGAGGAACTGTTAATGTGTTCCCTTCCTGATGGCCTATTTTCCCCTATATTAGGGGGATATCTGACAACTCTGGAGTCTGACAACTCTGGAGTGTGACAACTGTCAGGCACCATTCCAAATTTGAGTGTGAGTTGGGGAGAAGGCAGACAAGTGGGTCACCTCACCCCCTCCTGACTGACAATAAGAAGACAGGGAGAAATCTCCTCTGAAGTGCTGCCCATCCCCCAGGGCAGCCCTTGTCTCTCTGAGGTAGACTATGGGCTTTAGAGATTACTATGTTGCTTTCAGTTTGGAAGCTGGTTCTCTCTAAACCTTTGGGTTTTAGCTTATCTGTCACCTCTTCAATGACTACCCTATTTTTGGCACCTGCCAACACTCACCTTGCCTGCCTTCATTCCCTATCACAGAATCCCACCCATGCCCTTCACAGTAGGCAGTGACCACACTTCATGACTGTTTGTTTGGTAAAGTCTGGTTTACCGCCTGTTCTCTGCATGAACTGCAAGCTTCATAATGCCAGGGATCAGGTTCGTTACTATGTATTACTGGTACTTGCCACTAATCTCAATAAATATTTTTAGACTGAATGAATGAGTTAAATATGTCAAACATCTGTTTCAATTTTTAATGTTAATAATACTTTGAATCAACATTTAAAATATATTTATTTGTGTGATTTTATTTTAGCCTTTATCGCTGTCTTTTAAAATAGGCATTACAAAAGCACCCATTTGACAAGTAAGGTAACTAAGACACAGGAAAATAATAACATGGTCCAAATGAATAGAAATCAGTAGAGTTGAAAACAGAAGCCAAATCATCTGAACATCTAAATCAAAAACATGTAACAAATGAAAAAGAGAAAGAAAAGAGGGATAGAGGGAAACCCAGACAAAGGAAGAATGAAGGGAGAAAAGTTCATTCATAAATAGGGAATATTGTCTTATTTATTCTGCTAAGAACTCTGTAAGTCTCATACTGTAAGCCCTTTAGGAAACTTTTCACCTCTCTAAGCCATCTCATGCTGACGGGCAGATTAAGAACACTTTCAAGCAACCCTGCTGTACCTGAAATCATATGGAGCAGGAAATAAAGGAATCTGTAGTTAGTACATCTCTTTTTCTGTGCTGCACTGCACAAGCATAAAACTTGTTGGTAAAGTCAGGTCACATAATCAAGTCTGGTAATTGTAAGGAGTACTTACAATATAGATTTAAGTTTCAATTTCAGGTTCCAATTCATTCTCCCATAAATTTTCTACCTTAGTCAACACGTCACAAATCTTTGGCCTCTCTTAACATTTAAAAGCCGCATGAGACTACTGTCCCAGTTTTATTACAGCTGTGAGAGTAGAAATAAAATTACCTTCTACTGGAATCATTATTGAAAGAAAGAATGATGCATCCAACTTCTGATTTTAATCAATGATATTACATGTCCATTTCCTTTCTTTGTCCCCAAGTCTGATGATAAAATGGTCATTTTCATCAATTCTGATTATCTGGTTTAATATTATCATGTTGCAAAAAGAAAAGGAATCCCCTACTGTTCCCAGCCTCTGTAGTTAAAGAACAAATATCCCTTATGTTAACAACACTATTTTTGTGCTTTGGAAGGTAGAGATACTTTCCTGACAAAGGGTGGTAATCCACTTATAACTGCTGATCGCTAGGTGAAACACTGACAGAATGAGACCTTCTTATAGAGTGTATTGACAAAAGAACTCTAAATTGCTGAAAAGGACCACTCACCTCTTCCTGAACCCAAACAGAGTAATGATATGGTATTGATGAAATTCTGTCTGCCGCAGGAGGACCTAACAGTTAATTCTCAATACAAAGTGGTTGGTCAGGGATGGAGGGTGGCACGTCCTAAAGCTTAGAGGTCACGAATGCAGGACGCGGACATACCCATCACTGAGACATCGTATTCTATCAGCAGCGTTGCTTCTTGTCCACACTGTTTAAGAATACTCATGGCTTCAGCATGCGTGGTCCCGAGAAGGCGAATTCCATCCACACTGAGCAACCTATCACCAGGTCTGATTGTGCCCTCTCTGAAGGGAGAACAAAGGAACAGTCTCGATTAATTTTGCATAATGGGGCTTAGCATTAACAGTCACTTAGCCAAAGTGGTTCTTTCACACACATTCTGCCATCCACATCATTTACATTTTCCTTTAAACATCAAATATGACGGTAAGAGAGTAAAGAGGTAACCCTGAACAGAAAATTGCTGCAATATGAAAGTCAGGAATAGGAAAATAACCACATATTAGCAAATATCTAAAGTCACTCACAATTAACTCTTGGGGTACAAAAGTAATAAAAGTACATTTCTCTCTTCTAGATTTTGGCCTACATGTCTGAAATTGATTTATTAGAGTCCAGGAAAAAGCATCCACCTATTTTCCTAAAGTCAGGTGAGCAGAAAAGCCTGCTGCTTCCATTCAATTTATTACCAGTGAACCCGAGCAGGATAGGGAACACTGGTGAAAAATCCCCTAGTCTGTAAAATTTCCTACTGATTTATAAGGCCATTTGGCGATCATTAAATTGATTCAGTCTCACACTCACTGGAAAAGTCAGGCAAATATGATTCTCCCTGCTGTGACCACAGACACTGAAGGGCCAGGCACTGGGAGAAGATCCCCTGGGGACCTTAATGACACCACCAGGGATTTCCTTCCAGATCGTAACCATCCTGCCTCAGGAAGGGACACAGAGCCGAAAAAATCAAATAGCAGGATTATAAATTTAGGACTTGGGAAGAATAAAAATGATCTCTTAAATACCTTTCAGCTAGATAACTATCTAAGTGTTTGACTTTAAATTTTTAATCTTAAATTCTTAGATTTCCTTCAGTCCTACATTAATATGGTACCACGGTTGCTCACAAATTAGTAGCCTGCTTCTGATTTTCTGTCAACTCCAACTCTAAATGTTAATAAGAAATGAAAAGACATGAGAAGAGAAAAAAAGGCAGTATTTCCCTGGAGAATTTGACTCTGTGTTATCCTCTGGAAAGGTAAATATGCTTTAGCACAAGTGAGAAAACAGTGTCTTCATATTCTCTTATTTTATATTAAATATTAATTTTTAAAAAATGTGAGTTCACAGTATGAGCTTTGAAGGAAAATAAACCTGAATTTCTACCCTAGTTCTCCGATGTACTAGTTGGCAGGTCAGTCAGCCGTAATGGGCCTCACTTTTGTCATCTGTAAATGTAGATAAAAATACTTCATTTCATGGGTGGTTGGGAGGATGAAGTAAGATAACGTCTGCTAAGCACTTTGCACAGTTTCTGGCACACAGTAAGTGCTCAATAAGTAGTATTTATTATTATTGCCATTTCTGTTGCCTAAGAAAGGTTTTAAACATATATCCTGGTCTGAAGCATAGTGTAGTCAGGGATGATCAGTGCATTTTTTTTTACCCTTCCGCAAGATCTAATGGTTCCCCCAGCCATGTTGTGTCCCCCCACCACTGTGTGGTCAACTTTTGTTGTGGAAATTAATATAAAGATAAGTACCTCCTGAGGTATTTAAGTTGTGAGTTTACTTGGGACATACCCACTGAGGTTTATAATATTCAAATTATCCAGGAAAAGACAGCTCTAGAGACCAACGACATTCCTTCCATTTTATTAAAAGTTACTTCCATTCAGACATACATCATCAAAAGGTAATCATAATACTGATAAGGATGTTGATCATAGTAAGAATCAGACCACCACCACTTGTCTTTCCAGGTTAGGAGACTAGCAAATGGAGCTGATGCATTTCAAGTGCCTGTCTTAAAAATGCCAGCTGCCTTTTATTATGTATCTACAGGATGATAAGTCCCCTGCAAGGTATCACATATTTCCAATCTTCAACAAAACTTGAAAGATAGCTATCATCCATATTTTACAGTAGTGGAAACGAAGCTCAGAACTCTTAAGTCACTTGCCAAAGACTAGAGTCAAGCCTTTCTTTTGATTCTGCAGCCCAAACTATTGCAGTTTTCACATTCTAACATATCTAGTTAACATCTATCTTATACTAGGAAATTTACAACTCATCGACTTCTATGCCATAGTCCTTAAGTCTATTTGGATAATGACACAGAAAGATGAATTTTACCTGTCAGCAGGCCCTCCAGGACGAACACATGTTATCACAACGGGACGAGATTTATTTCTATCGTCATGTGCTCCCCCTAGCAAAGAAAAGAAATACAGCTTCTTTCACTAAAAAAACTTTGCTCACAAAATGCCAGCTGAGAAACTGAAGTACATTTTGCTGATGTGTGGAGGAAAACACACCCATTTTTTTCTTCTGGCACATAATAGCCTCAAAAATCTTCTTCATTTTATATGGAATGTGTTTTTGAACTCATTTCACCTCTCGCTAAATATATGTCTGTAACCACAGGTGATATATAAAATACTGAACTACTAGCGTCACAAGAGCACCAACTCATAGTAACAGGTACGAGCCCATCTAGAACAGAGGCGAGCAATAAACTAAGTGCTGGTGGGGATATCTGGCACTAATTAACCTGAGCTGTAATCCAGGTGAGTAGGTCTACAGCCTGACATATAGGGAGAAGAAACGAAAGTAAAAGAAAAAATCCAAGTCACATAAAAAGAGGGGAAAAAAGAAAGACTGAAGTGGCTCAGGTGGTCTCCGTTAAATTGGTATGTTCAAAACCTGGGGCCAAACTTGGCAGATTATGTCAAGCCAATTAGAAGGCCTAGATGGGTATTTTAATTTGGTATAAAAAATTTCTCCTTAAAAATGTTTGAAACTGAGAAGCTTTTAGAAGGTAATTTACTACAGCTCCTCTTTTTTATCTAGGATCCCGTTGTGCCGCTTGTTTAATCTGGCCCCCCACCCCCAGTATCCACGAGAGGCACCCATTGTTCTGCTGATTAGCTTGGAGGCAGCCCACTGCACAACGGACGGACGCCCAGAAGGTTCTTCCTAACACTCGACTCACATCTATCTTTTTTCATCTTCCATCCACTCATCCTTGTTCTGTTATCCAGAGTCGTAAAATAAAAATGTATACTTTCTTCTACAAGGAATGTTTTCCAAGGGTTGAAAACATATTCCCTTTCCAAGGGTTGATTGTACACCTGTGAAGTCTCATCTTAGGGCTGAATATTTCCAGTGTCCTCACTGCTCTGCATGAGACCTGACTCCCTCACATGTCACCATCCCGGCTGCCCATGTCGGGGGTCTCCAGTTTGCCAGCATCTAACTAGCAGGACTGTTACTGTCATGAAGTTGTTCCTGAACCTTTGCCTGGTAGGCAAGACTGATATTTCCCAAACTTGGCACAGGTAGGGAGGTCAACTTAAAAAAACCAAGCCTAAGAGAAAAATACTATTGTGTAACTTCTCATTTGCAAGGTGACCATAAAAAGATAAATCTACTTTCCTCCAAGGGGGTATGGATTTAGAAAAGACAGCAAGAAACCTTTCCATAATTCTGACTTGGAGATCTAAATGTAAATATATAACAGTGAATGATACTGAAGTGTGAGAGAGATAGCTCTAAATTTCATGACATATGATATTTTTATCAACGTTTAAAATAATGAACCAAATTTCATGGTGTGCTTGGGTTGCAGAAGTTTGGTGATGCAACGCCAAGTGTAAAACCACTCAGAGTCCAGTGGTATTCTCAATCCTGACTGCACATTAGCATCAACTGCCTGGGATGTTTTTGTAAAAATATCAGTGCCAGGCAGGGCCACAGTGCAAACCATACCTGAATATCAGGCTCCATCTGTTAGATGAGTCCATCTACCTTCAACTTTATAGTTGAGAATAACTAGATACAGAATAAGTAGATAGTTTTCACTTGTGTCCAAAGTGAAAAGTAACTTACAGCAGAGTGAATTTTCTATTGGCCCAAACCAGCTCCCATAGTGTGGTGGTAAGGGAATTACCTGAAATTTAACTCTCCAAGATTTAGACCACAACATCATTTTTCATTCTATGGATGCAAGCAAGCTTCTATTGTTTGGTGAGTCAAGGTTTTAGAACCTGTGATGTATCATTGGAAATGTAATTCCATTCAATAGCTAAAGCCAATGTTATTGTTCTAAGACCCATTCTAATTGGTTAAGAAAAAAATTCTCCAGGACTAAATGAATATGCTTCACCTGCAAAATCTTCCCCTCCTCTCTGAATGTCCTGGTAGTCTCCATAGACCACAGTTTAGCTCAGTGTCTATGCTGCTGTAATGCATTATCTTCCATGATAACATGTATCCACACTACTTTTTTACTCTGCAATTCTTTTTGTGATTAGCCAATGATTTGTAAGAGATGGATGGTGGACACCTTTTGAGCCAGAGAGACCCTCCAGATAAATCTCAAACTGATCTAAAAATATGAGTTCTGTATTTGATTCTTATTGAAAAATTATGCAAAATTCCACAAACTTTAATGTTCAACCAGTGTACTGAGGGGTTATTAAAACCTACAAAAACGTGTTACTCATATACTAAAATTCATTAGTCCTGCAGTTTCAAAGTCAGTATAATACTAAGGAGTCTGATGTCCATGTAAATCAAGGCAACATTCAATTATTTATTCATTCACTTATTAAGTACTGAAAATGTGCCAGGTAGAACTCCAGGCTCATATTAAAAGACTCTTACATGCATGCACATACATAGGTATTTGAAAGTCCTGAGAACTGTGGGAAGAACATTTTGTTAACATTATATCATCAGTTGTCTTGAGGTGGTTGTGGATTTCAACTACCTTTTTTTAGTTCTTAATGTTAAATTACTGTTGGTTTAGCTTTTTCATTAACAATTTGATTGGTTATTGATTAACCATACAGCAACTAGTGACAAATATTTGAACCAGCAGTACTTTTACTGCAGCTTTCCAATAATTAGTCCTGTAGGCATGCAATTCAAGTGCCTCTCTTTCACACCTCTATTGCAAAAACAGATCTTTATACACCACTCTCAGGCTAAAATTACTTGTATACTGACTTTTCAGTATATCCATCTAGTTCTTTTACATGGAAATGTAGAAATGGTGAAGGTAAATTACTAGGGTACATTAGGACCTGGTCAGGAAAGTGTACTAACTTCTGGTCTAAACCACTCAGTGAGTTCCTTGTTGCCCATTTTCCTATCGCTCACTTGAGCACTTTATCAACTTATGTCTTAAATTCACTGGACTGTAATTTACTGTAGATAGGGGTCCTGTCTTATGACTCTAGAGTACTTGGCACTATGCTGACTGTTGACATATCCTTAATAAATGTTTGACTGATTGATTTGCTAAAGGACTGCTGCAGAATAAAACCTAGCGCTTAAAGCTCAGTCATTTAAGACAAATCTATATGAATGAATGCATCTCTTTTACTCCTTGATGTTTGTATATTTATTAAGATACTTAGTTAATTTTAATTAATGTTTTAATAATTTGGGTAGAATTTTGACTGTCGTGAAACACAATGTATAATAGACAAAAACAAAAAAATCAAGACATGTGAAATCCTAAAAAAATCCTTGTTGCCTTATAGTTCCCTATTGAACCTCACTTTCACACTAGAAATTATAAGTTGTCAATATCTGTGTAGTCTTTAAGGGATAAAACTGCTAATGAGAAAAAATAGAATATTAAAAGCCAAAATTACAGCTCAGAATTAATAGTTTTACAGAAAAGCTGGAGTCCCCTGAAATCTTTATTATTAATGTCATCTCATCTCCATATTAAGATGAATTGAGCTGATATATATAGGTCCCCAAGGGATTGAATTATCCTCAAACCATTTTTAGAAAACTGTAATACCAAAACAATTCAGGAGAATAAAAAGTTGCTTAATCCTAATGTACTAAATCAAATCAAGCCATACTCAACATTACTTTTCCAAAGCACACAATAATCTTTATTGAGATTATGAACTTGGGGATTTATGGCAATAATGACTTTTTAAAAATTTTTGGTTTTATCTTTTTAAAAAATTTAAAGTATAATATGTTAGCATACAATATTATATTAGTTTCAGGTGTACAACATAGTTATTCAACATTTATATACCTGACAAATTGATCACCATGATAGTGTCCAGTAATGGTCTGTTAACATACCAAGTTATTACAATATTATTGACTATATTCCCTATGCTGCACATTCTATCCCTGTGACTTACTGTTCTATAATTAGAAATTTGTCCTTATCCCACTTCTTTTTTGCTCATTCCCCCACTCCCTCCTCTCTGATAACCTTCACTGATCAATGTTTTTGACTCAGTGATACGGAAAAAGCATAGAGGGAAGGTAAAAGATGTGGAGAAGTGGCAAATAAGTAGGATGACTGTGGATAAACAAGGTCTACAGACAGTGACTTCTTGCTCTGCACTGACAGACTGAAAACAAAGCTAGGTCATTTGCATTCCACTTCTGATTCCCACTCATCACTCATTTTCTTCAAAAAAGAGCAGGTACAAATATTATAAGGTGATTTCATGTGCTGGAAACATCAGAGTCTTTGAGAATGGCTCTCTAGTTCACTTCCAATATTTCACTGATGAATTCTCCAAGAATAACTGATGGTTGATATTTTCTAACCATCACCTACCTCGTATTACAAAACCAAACGTATTGCCTTCTTTATGTAACGTGACCTCCACCGTTCGGAAAATAACACTCGATCCTTGGACAGCTGAATGCAGAAAAGAGAGAGGGAAACACAAGTCTTAAGTCACAATAACATTTCTAAATTTTTTATGTGGCATAAGATATAGAAGATTCCTTTTACAAATAATTCTTATTTTGAGTAATAAGACAGCAGTAATTTATTTTCAAAGAAAATATTAGAAAAAATAATTGGAATGACATACAAATACCATAAAAGTTATCTGCATAAGTGACTTATATAGGTTCAAGTGGAATCAAAATCACAGGCCTTTCCTTTTCGCTTGTGTAGCCAGGTTCTAGGTAGATGACAAAATTCTGTAGAACAAGAGAGACACTCTTCACATGATAAACAGAATTGTTTTTCCTTTGTGAAAAACAAAAACAATATGATTTTTGTAAAACTTATTGAACAATTAATGTGTTTATTTTTATTTTTGCAGCTAGCAAAGGAAGAAAAAGTATTCTCAAATTGTCATTAAGAGATGAGGCTGATACAGATTTTCTGCATGATGCAAAGCAATTAAACAAAGATATCAGCAATGCAAAGGAAACTTACAGGGCAAGAGAAATCCTAAGTACATTCAAAATATTACTACTGACTAATAAAATAAAGATATACTTAATTTTACTTGATATCATCATGCTTATGTTGTCTTTGCCTGCTTATTGCTCTCATTTCACAAAATAAAATTACACCGCCATGTTGCAACCTCTAATTACAGTACACACAGTATGAAGGTATAAGTTGTATAAGGGTATAGTCACTAAACTATTCTGTACAACTGTTTTCATGAAATTGGTGAATAATTCTGTATATAGTAAGCTTGCTGAATTAAAAACAAAAAATTTCCACAAATTAATGTTTTATCATTATGCATACAAATGGTTTTATTCATGAAGACAGAAAAATTTGCAAGCTGTAGAATTTGATGGTCTTAGATCTTTTATTGAATTTGTATAATGATATCAAATTATCTAACCCTATTTTCAGTAAATGCCAATGACACATTTTTACCTTGTTACTAGATCTTGAAGGCTATTTTATATAAAACTATCAACAAGAAATATATGGACATGATTGAAGGCATTTTAAAAAAGAACACTTCTTTCCATTTCAGTAATAGGAGGTAATTGTAATTAAGCATTAATTATAACCATTTTTATTAGAAATTCTGAATCCTCAAAGGAACAAACATGAGTATGAAAGTACACAGCTAAATACACAGGCCTGCACTCATCCAGCTGGGGCATAAAGTATAATAAGAACTTGGATCTGCTGAAAAACAGCATAAACCTACAGCTGACCAAATGTTTTGGTACACTGCTGATTTAATTAAATGTCATATTCTTGCTCTCAGGGGATTTCAGTTTATTCTAATCAGCCAGGAATAATATATACAATGAGCTGAAACTATTGAGAACAGTTTTAAATAAATAAAAAATTGAGTGTTAAGCCAAATGTTTTCTTATTTCTATGATCCGACAAGCCACTTAAAGAAATCAGTGAAGAACATGATCTTTTTGTTCTATTGGTAAGGCAGCAAAGGAAAAGACATGGGGAGAAATAATTAATGAGCATCTACTGTGTGCCAGGAACTCTGCAAAGTAGTTTACAAATATTTTATTTAATCATTAAGTCAACATTCAATTATATACAACCAAATCTAATTCTGGGCCACCTGGCCTTGTTGGCTGAGTGTCTGTCTGCTCTGGCAACGCAACGTACTGTAATCTTAATTTTTTTGAGCTAAATCTTGCTGACCACGAAATCTTACAATCAAATCTGAAGTCAGTATAAAGACTTTTAGGATTATCTACAGCTTTAGATTGTCCTCACTACTGATGTTCATTATCGACAAAGATAAATGTCAATGTTGACTATATTTTAATACACTTAATGAAACAGATTTGGTCTCCCTAATTTTTATTTGTATGACTGTCTCTTGGTGACTATGTTTTTATATTCAGAACTGAGATATCCTATATTGCCAAGTGAATTTTACTTACTACGTCATCTGTGTGTATGTGGGCATAAAGATCCAATGAAAGGTTTCCCCCAAAATCAAATCTGATACATGGAAGGGCTAGGTAGAACCAACTTCACCGTGAAGAAATACTGGTCCTTAGAGTGTTTAGTGTCCTGGTGTCCCTTGTTTCCATATGTGAATATGCATATGTATATGCATATTCTTATTATTTTACTATAGTAGATTAGATTTTCCTAAATGACATACTACTTCCCTGCCTCCTCAACTCCTACCTCAATAGGAGAATAGGAGTTGTGTTCTTTTCCACCGCATTTCGTTGGGCTTGCCCATGTGACTTGCTTTGGCCAAAGGGATGTTAAGAGATGTAAGCTGTGGTCGGAAGTGTTTTCCCTCGGCCACTGCCACAGGAAAAGCTTTCCCCAGGTAGCAGCTGCCCCTTCAGAGTGAATCCCAGAATGAACCAGGTGGAAGAGATCTGAGATAGTGTCGTCATCATCACCATCATCATGTCTATCTCTTCTTAGAATTAGAACTGAGAAGAAAGGCTGCCACAGAGGCATGCTTTAACACATTTACTTGGATTAAAGGAGGACTTCTGACAGAAAGCTAGTCTGATGTAGCTGATGGTCTAACAGTGTGGGCTGCCTCTGCCAATCCCCTGTGGCATTTTCCATAAAAAAACATATTCCATAAAATATATAGCTCCAAGGTTTGAAGAAAAACAGCATTCAAAGATGTATAAAGCAAACATCATGCCAGAAATTACACCCTTTCCAATTATTTAAGCTTATGTACCAAGAATTTTAGGTGTTAACTAAAAAAAAATGGATGAAAATTATGTAATATTTCAAAATTCTTTAGAGATTAATGTGAAGGCACTGCTTTAGACTTTAATGCATAAATGCCTCATACTGTTTGGTAATATTCTTTCTCAACAGTCTCAAACCATCACATAATTTTAAAGTTAAAAAGAACTAAAGCTCATATAGATCAACCACTTTGTTTTCATAAACAAAGTGAATCTTAAAAAGGTAAGTGGTTTGCCCAAGATCAACATTCCATTTTTCATCTACAGACCGCACACGCACATGCACACACATACACCCTTCCTCTACTTTCTTCTAGTCTGTGGGATTGGCTGAGTCTCAGATTGCTGTGATTCTCGAAAGAGTTACTAGTCTCAGCCTCAGGGGACCTGTCCTCAGCAGTCAGCTCTCCTCCCAGGCTCTGCTGGCGGCCTGCTCCTACTTGGGCTGCCTGAGCTCAGTGGAGGGGAGGCTTATTAATCCCTTCAACCTTCCTGGATACAAAGATCTTATTAATTTATCCAAACATAATAGAAAATGACAAAGATAATCCTTGGAGAATAGGCCTCCTCCATATGCTATCTACTCTAAAGTTCACACTTTTGTATTTAAAAATATTTTCCCCTTTTCCCATTAGATCTATTGCATGAAGAAGAAAAAGCTATATAATCACCAAGTCATGACAGGTTTTAACCTCTGAATACATCTGCTATCTACCCCCTCCCCTGTATCCCTACTAATGCTATGTTTATTCAGGCCATGACCTCTTTTTTGAAAATTGTAATAGCCTTTGGTTTATGGCTTCTGATCTATTTTCCATTTGGCTTCTTAAAATGGTATGTCTAAAAACTCACATCTGGTAATGTCTGTTCCTTGACTTTAAAGGGCTTTAAAGGCTCTTTATTGCCCACTTGACACCATCCAAGATCCACCCACATGGCTCAGCTTACCTGGCCCCCATTGTTTGGCTCCTGTGTATGTTGTTGGCCTCATCCCTGCTCAGGCCTCTGGGTTTTTGCCTGCAGGTTCCAGCAACTCCACCCTGTAGTTCAACCCGTGCACTGGGCTCCATTCTTACCTCCTTGCTGTAGTCTCTGCCTGGGAAGTTCCTCTTCCTACTGGATCTGCGTAACCTCTTTCAGATCTTCCCAGAAACCCCCAGCTCTCCTCTATTGTACTTGCCCCTGGAAAGCTATCCTAAGAGTTCCTTTGAGGAAGATACTGTGTTTTATTGCTATTCATATCCCTAGTGGAGTGAAAATGCAAATGAAGGAACATTACTAGCTCTAGATATCTGGCTTCTCTTAACTCCTGGGCAATAGTTTGAGGTAGTGATTTCAAAACAGACTCTTTTGAAGTTCAAGAAAACATGGCACTTTCAGTATAATAATAAAAATGGTGGTAATGGCTAACATACTATGGCTTACCAAGTATATGATAATGATCTAAACACTTTATATGATTATAGCCTTGAATTCTTACAAAAATTCCACATCTATTATATAGATGAGAAACCCAAGGTTCAGAGAATTTAAATAACATGTTTAAGGTCACGAATAGCAAGGGGTGAAACTAACATTTAACTAGTGACCCAGTAGAAGCACTCAACACTGGATTTTACTGCCTGCACTTGCTGAAAATGAAAAGTGGCGGAGCAAGGTTTTTGAACACAGATTTCAATTGATTTTGTTATAAAATCACATTAGATTCTCAGTAAGTATAAGAGCTCATGATTTATGTACATGCACTCCCCTAGTGCTGCCATCTTGTCCCAAAGCTTCCAACACCATCTACATTCTCATGACTCTCAGATTTACATTTCTAGTGCAGAGCTTTCTCCCAAACTGCAAACCAGATCTCCAGCTCCCGACATTTCTTCTTTGCATGCCAAACAGGCACCTCCACTGGAGCATTTCAAACAATGAACTTCGGCTCTCCCCCTCATAAATCAACTCTGCCCACATTCTTAGCCACCCCATTCATGACAACTCCATCCTTCCAGTGGCTCAGGCTCAACACCGAGAGTGGTCCTCAACTCCTCTATTTCTGCACATCCCACAGCACATCTGTCAGAAGGTCCTGTTGGCTCTGCCTTCAAAATAGATCAAGAATGTGATGTCTTTTTGCTGTCTCCACCACCACTTCTCACCGGAATCACTGCAAAGCGCCCCCAACTGGTCTCTCAGCATCTATCCTTGCCACAGCAGTCTATCCTCACACAGCAGCCAGAGGGAGCCTTTCAAAATATAAATCAGATCACATCACTCCTCAGCCCCTATAGCATTCAGAGCAAAATTTAAGGTCCCTCAAGTGGTCTACAAAAATACCTCCTCCTTTACATGTCTGACCTCCTTTCCTACTTCCCTTCATGCTCATTCTACTCCAGCCACACTGCCCTTCCTAATGTTTCTAGAACAACTCCAGATATATTCCTGCTTTTTTATCTTAGCCCTGGCTGTTCCATCTTCTGCAATTCTCTTCCTCCTGAAATCCACACAGCCAGCTTTCTCATGTCCTTCATGCCACTGGTTATGTCACTGTCCCAATGAAGCCATTCCTAACTACCCTATTTAAAATTGCAACCCCCAGCACAACCAACCCCTCTCCTTGCTCTTTCTTTTCCCCATGGCATTCGTGTGATATAATTAACTTATTTATTGTGGTTTTATTTTGCTTTCTGTCTTCCCCAGTTAGAATGTAAACTCTATTGAAGTACACATTGGGGATGAGAACCTAGTAAATGCTCAATAAATCATTGCTAAACAAATAGGCTGTTATTGATTATTAATATTCAATCTGAGCTCCCACCAGTACAGGAAAGAAAAAGCTTTCTCAGGACAGCATCCACGTTAATAGCTTAATAATCGGAGAGGTGGTTCTAGAAGAACACAGCTTAAATGTAGGACAGCAGTCTCATGTAGCACAAGGTGTGCCTCACAATGAAGAAGCACATGGACTTCGGAGTCAGGGAGCCTGAGTTCACATACCGACTTTGTTGCTAACTAATCTGGGGAAGATATTTAAGCCTCTGTAAAATGAGAATAATAATGATAATAACACCTATCTTGAGTATTGGTTGATTAGTGTCTTTATTATTTATCAAAAATATTTATAGGGGCAAACACTGTTCTAAGTGCTTTACAAATACTCATTTAATCCTCACAACAGATCTATGAGCAGGAACTAATATTATGCACATTTTCCAGGTGTAGAAACTGAGACTCAGAAAACTTAAGTAATTTTCTCAAAGGTACATAGGTGGTAAAAGATGGAGCTGAGGTTTGAACGTGGCTATTGACACCAAAGCTCCGCTCTGCTGCACTAACTGTCCTTGTGCTGAGGAATGAGTGTATCGATGCAAGTCAGGTTCAGTTTAATGTCAGACATTTAGAAAGGTCTCAAAATGTGTTGGCTGCTCTTGTTACATAATAATAATAATAATTATTATTATTACTTGACAATAACATGTTCCGAATCCATCTTCATGCTTCAGAAATTAACACAACTATAAAGAATCAATATAAAACACTTTAAACATGCTTTTCCTAAACCTAGTCACTAAGTACAAAGCCTGGATGGAACTTAAGCACAGAACTTACAAAGATGTTTACTGTTTATTAAAATAGCTTCACTGGCAAATACAGTGTTTGCAGATTACCTTAATGGAACATGAGTCCTATATAATGCCATTGTTCACTATGCCCTTTTCAATTCTTCCTGAGCAGGTTATATGTTTGTCAATTCAAATAAATTTTAAGTATTAAGCAACTATGCTTTGCCACTCCTACAATGAGACAATGATGGCAAAAGGGAAGAATGAAAAACAATTATTTTAGGCAAAAACGTGGTGCAGCCTTCTGCCTTGGGTTGTTATACTTACAGACTGGCGGCAGCTCATATTCAACTTCAAGAACCACTCTTTCCCCAACGTTCTTCAGCAAACTGATGATCTCGTCATGACGGAATTTGGCCAGGTTGATCCCATTCACGGCCTTGATGTAGTCACCTACATCCAGCTGATCACTCCTGCAAAATAGGGAATGTCATATCAATGGACCCCTCTTCTCCACGGGCCTGGCAGACCCGATTTTCCGAGTTCCCTTCATGACTGTGCATGCAAGGACCAGGTGGCAGAAGTCCCTGCCTCCTGGGCTCTGTCTGGCTCCTGATGGTGGGAATACCGCCCTGGTGGATGAGAGAGTCAACAGATCCCTTCTACGCATGCTACTGTTAGCCTTTAGAAGTTCTGTGCTGAGCCCTAAATCAAAAGGTCGGGGGTTCGATTCTTAGTCAGGGCACCCGCCTATGTCGTGGGTTTATCTCTGGTTGGGGAGCATATGAGAGGCAACCAATCGATGTTTCTCCCTTGCATCAATGTTTTTCTCCCTCTCTCCCTACCTTCCCCTCTCTATAAACCTGTCCTTGGGTGAGGAAGAAAAAAAAGTCCTGCTTTGGGTCTGCTGCTGCCAGATTTCCTCCCCTAATCCTTTGCCTCTTCTATTTTTAAAGGGCACCATGAAACAAAATACAGAGAATTGTTTTTCATTGCTCTGCCCATAAAGGCTTTGTTCTCTCGGAGGTAGATTATCCAGATCCTGGACCCAGCAGGACTTTTCTCTTTTTCCCCATTCTCTCTCACTTCTGCCACCTGTCTTTTGAACACATCACAGTTTTCAATATCTTCACTGGGAATTTGCTAAGAGCATCAGCTTATTTTGCTCTTTATTGTTTACAACATGAGTGGTAAAGAAGAGTATTGGTGAGGAAGAAGTTATAATAAAAATACTGGGTTTCAGTGGCATTCTTGTCTCTCTCTTCACCACCATAATAGAACCGTGGGTACTTCTGGGCCTTTAGTCTAACTCTACTTCTAAGCCAAGAGCGAGCAGTGAGACAAATGACAGTACTTAAAATCTGTGTCACTGATAAGGACCTTCAGTAATATTTTCTCCCCAAATAGAAATACCTAATTCATTTATTTTACATGAGTCCAGCTCCAATCATTCCTTTTTCACCAAGTCTTCCTAATCCGCCGCAGCCTGCAGTACCTCTTCTCACTGTTGCCTTGGGTTTACTGACGCTCGCTGGGCAACTTAACTGCCTTCCGCTCCACGACTACTCTCACGCTGTCACTTTTCACTATTCCACAACGCTATTATTACTCCCACACTTTTCATGCTTTTTTATTCCATATTTCCCCTTATAGGTTATAAGCCCCCATTGGGCAGAGATTTTATTTGTAATCACTTTGGTTTACTACCTATAAAATGTCAGCGCCTTAAACAATGAGTATTTGGTGATTGATAACACTCAATGTAATTGGCCCAGCACTACTTTTAATTACAGCATCAACACAACTGCAAATGGCAGTTCCTCCCTACTCCCACCTGCTTCACAGGCAGAGGCTCTGGAGACACATGGAGCCTAAGCATCACAGAGGGGCCATGACTGCTATAAAAGGAAGGAGGCTGTGGGTGTGGAAAGACGGCTCTTAGAATTGCCTGAAGAAAGGAAGTTAAGATGCTTGTGTTGACATCAGCTTGTTTTACAAGTACCTCGAATCATGGAGAAATCCTATGGATTAAGCTTATAAATCAATTGTACAAACTGGTTCACCATAGGTAGTAATCATCATTTCAAATGACACTTTATAAGGCAAGAACTCTAAAGCTTAACTTGTGACCACAGGGGCAAGAGCACTGGTGTCCAGGATTTAAGGTACATAACCTTACTTTTAATGAAACCTGACCCATGTGCCCCCACTTTCTAAGGTGAATTTTGAACCTGTCTGCTAAGCAGGCCCACCCTGCCCAGCAACCAAGACACATTGCCTATGGTGACAACACGCACAATTTGCAGCTCATTGGAACAGACACAAAATGAGATCTCTTCGTCTAAGCCTTCTGTCCTCTGGAAAATCACTACTTTGTCTTGATGAAAAGGAAAATCTCACAAGTAGGAGAGTGGAGAAGATGCCAGGAAAGCAAAACCGCTACTTAGGGGCTCGGCACTGGGCCCGGTCGGGCCCTCAATGACAGTTCCAGCCGTACAGGTTATATGGGTCATCTGTTCCACATGTGCGTGAGCAGTGTCTCTTCCCACTGCAGCCCTTCTGTGTTCAGTGGCACATTTGGGGGCTAGAGCCATATAGGTGTTTTTTTTAAAGCATTTTATTTATTTATTTATTTATTTATTTTTAGAGAGGGAAGGGAGAAAGAGAGAGAGAGAGAAAGAGAAACATCAATGTGCAGTTGCTGGGGGCTGTGGCCTGCAACCTAGGCATGTGCCCTGACTGGTTGAACCTGCAATGCCTGGTTTGCAGCCCTCGCTCAATCTACTGAGCTACGTGAGCCAGGGCACCATATAGGTGTTTTAAAATTAAAATCTTATGAGGGCCTGGCTGCTCCCGAGATGGATTCCCTGGTGACTTTGGCACAGGCCAGAAAAACCATATTTCTGAAACACACCCCAACGATGCTTCTGGCCAGCGGAGGGCAACTGTCCTTTATTTACCAGTGACCTCTTTTTTTTTGTTGTTTCTTTTTTTTATTTTAATCATTGTTCAAGTACAGTTTTCTCCCTTTCAGTCCAGCCCACCCACCCAACCCTCCCCACTTCCCTCCCATTACCACCCTCCCCCTAGTTTTTATCCACGTGTCCTTTAAATTTGTTCCTGTAAATCCTTCCCGTTCTCCCCTGAAATTCCCTCTTCTCTCCCCTCTGTTCACTGTCAGCCTGTCCTCTATTTCAGTGTCTTTGGTTATATTTTGCTTGTTTCTTTGTTTTGTTGTTTAGGGACCTCTTCTGATGGAGCTTTGATTTCTGGATTAATTGCACTCTGTGTCCCCTTTTCCAAACTTCCCCGAGATGTGGTTACCTAGCAGCAATTCCTCCTTGTCGCAGATTAGATACTCTTGGCTTGCCATCCTTGTCAACTCCTCCGGACACCGTCAGTCCGAGGGTGGTGCCTTCCTTCTTCATCAGCTCAACGACGGTGGAGCCCTTGAATTCCTCTGTTTAAAAAGAAGAAAAGCATTTGCCTCATGAAATGAGATTAGAAGCACAAGGTGTTGGGGAACTGATGCTTCCCCATGAACTCTTCCTTTTTCTTTTACTCGAAAAGATCTGTGACCTCTTTTCATTGCAATTTGCAGAGTATCTCATAAAGATTGCATGCAGATATTCCATTATAGGTTATTAAAATGGGTACCGGTGGGACAGTTCATTCTAATTTCACAATAGATAGTCTGACATGGCTTACATACAAATGATGATACTTGCCCTTTGTTTCCTGCCATTCTGAAGTGACTTTTTCTGGTTTCTCTCCTTGTAACTCCAAAGAGAACAAGGGAGAGCTGTAAAAGCAGGGGCCAGCACATTTAAAAATAATAGTACAGATGCATATAGTATAGCAGTAGGGTCCAAGTTCATGTTACATTTCAGCCGATGAAGAGAGCTTTGTATAGGTTTGAGAAAAATAGTACTGACTCTCGACTCCTCCTCCCAACCCGTCCTTCAGAAAACAAAGTACAATGGCTTCACGTAACGAGTAGCATGACTTCTTACAAAATTTGTCACAAAACAGGTTTGGTCCTCAGAAACCTGGTAATTGCTGCCAAGTCCTCATTCTCTGCACATGAAAAATTTTAAGTCTTACAGATCCTGTGGGGATAATGTCTACAAACTAAGAGAGAACCCAAATCCAATTGTTTGATTTCAGGCACAACCAAAGGTAAGAAGACTTTAAGAACATCCTTCCTTTCAGAAATAAAAATGAGTCACGTCAACATTCATGAGTCCAGAGGCTGGTTATGACAAAAACTGCCTCACAACTCTCTGTGATGTTATTCCCTGCTCTGCACACATACTTTCTGGGTAGGGCTGGGGAGAGTGGACACTGTTCCACCTCTTCCTAAATCGGGTTGTGATTTTCAGTGGTCATGCACTTCTAGAACATGAAAGACACTATTCGAACTTCAAGAACAGACTTTCTTTTTCAAAGAAAAAAAACCCCAAACAGATTGTTTGCACACCTCTGCTCCTTCCTTAATTACGTATAACATGGTTAATTATTTTAAAAATCTCTATGAATGCTTATCATAAAGGTTTTTAAGTTGTTGTTGCTGGTATACTATTCCATCTGCCAATGAAAAGAAATTGAATTATGCTGGGGAAGGAAATAATCTCTCATCTGATTGGGTAAGAAGGACAGAGTATCATGGATGGGAAAGGAGGCAAGTGGGGGGCAGGGACAGGTCACTGATTGCCTCAGTGACATACAGGATGTCATTCCAGGCAGGGCTTCTGAGATGGCCAGGTCCTGTGATCTCAGCACCCAGCACATGTCTTTTTCATGGTAGTTTTGTGACACTGCATATGTGAGCTGTCATTGCCCTTTAAAGTAGAAACCAAGGAAGAGTTTATGAGTGTGAATGTTGTCAGCTTCATTCACTACACTTTGTGCGAGAACACATAATGGATGAAATTCAAGAATCAAAATTCTTGTCAAGTATACAAAGCATAGAGACTTTTATATCCTTTACCAGAAGCATTTGTAACAAAGTCCATCGGGTGTGCATTTCACCTGTGTCCCCTTAGAACCAGCAAAATAACCCCCTATACGTCCCATAAAAACATACATAGGCCCAACTGATATTTGCAGAGATCAACTTAACAACTCCCCCTATAAATCCTTCTTGGCAGAAGACTAGGTATAAACCACTTAAGAAAATAAAGCTGATAATTAAAGTAATGAAAATACATAACAGATGATGACTATTCACAGTACAGAGACATAATGTGCCCCACAATTTTGCCCAACAAAGGAATTCTTTGCATTTTCTTTAAATATGTAGACTGATCCTGTATATTAAAACATATGATTATAGATCTTGGAGAGATCCAACTTGGAGTTGGAAGCATGGTTTTTAACAGCCCATCTTAGAGGTCAGTCAAAAATGTGCAAAAAGCAACTATGAAATAATAATATCCTTCAAGGGAGAAGTAAGTTTCAATTCATAAGAACTTCATTCCTATTCAGGCTTTCAAAAACACGCTTCTTGCATGGAATGAGAATCACTATATAAGTGCAGTCTTATGGGATGTGGGCAACAGAGTTTTCTTCAGAAGGAACTCAGGTCATTCTCAGGTTTCTGGCTGAACCCTAAAAATCTAGAAAAGCTCAATTTTGTTAGTTTAATTTGGTCTCTGTTAAAATATTAATCCAGCTGGGCTTTTTAAACTCGTAATAGTCAACTACTCTCCTATTTAAAAATATTTCAGATCTTTCCCTAAGAGCTAGTTTTAATAACATAAAAGATAGAAAATATTCATGCACCAGTTAATTGAGTTATTTGTGCATTCATTGATTTAAGCATTTATTGAGTGCTGACTGTGAGCAAGACAATCAAACCCAAAGATGAAAGAATTCTGAGATGCTTACAACCTATTCCCAGAGGCAAATGGTTCAGAAAGCAGCAGGCCACAGTGTGGGTTGTGGGGAAGGGCCCGGAGGAGGGGGTCCTGGCAACAATGTACACTGCAGGCTTACTGTTCCAAGTGCAACATTCCTGTCACAATTTTGTCTTCTGTTTAATCTGTCCGTACTTATCGATCAGGATTAGCAAAGCAAAACAGACCAAAGGAGAAATCTAAATCAGGCAAAACTCAAGAGTAAAGATAAAATATTATTGTAGGAAAATGCACTGAATCACATGAATGTTAACTGCCAATAAGCAGCTCTAGTCTCTGAAGGATTGACTAAATCTTTTACAGGGATTTCTGAAGGGAGCAGGAGAAAAGAAGCAGTTTGCAGAGGCAGGAACATGTTCTGGAGTTGGCTTTTAGTTAACCTGCACTCTCTACTAGATTAATCAGTCATTTTATATCTTTTGTGGTGTTTAATGTTTGCATAATGATTTAATGGCAAAGAGAAATGAAGACAGATGCATTCATTTGCATGAGTTCAATTTCATATCAAGGCCTACTAAACCAAGTTCTGCAGTGAAACAGTGGAATTTGGGCAAGTCAACACGTAGGGGAATTTCTTATTTGTGATTTAAATTGCAAATATTGCTTTCTGAATCAAGAGGACCATGCAGCAAAGATTGTGGACTCTCCAAATTAGCAAGCAACACAGAGATCAGCTGATGCTCAACTGGAAAGGAATAAGATGGTTCTGGATTTAACGGTTTCCTCAATCACCATATTTAGTTATCTCAGGAAAATTTTGCAGGCTTACATCTGTATGGATACTCACTCAGTATAATCAACAAGAAGCTCACTGACAGAAGGGGATATTGTTGTTTGCTGTTTTTCTTTGAGTGTATAATTCAATATTCTTAATTACTAAACTCCAGAAAGTTTTAGGAAAAATAACAATAATGCCTGTTGAAAGCAAGAGAATTCTGAAAAAAATCTTGCAAACAAATAAGAAATTTAATAACATATTAATAGATGGTTACAAAATTACATAGACTTTATATAAACAACAGCAAGTTAGAAGTTATAGAAGAAACATTTTTAATACCCCAAAAGTTAAATCTCTGAGAAAAAAAATTAATGAAAAATGTATAAGATTTATATGAAGAAAACTTTAAAATAAGCCTAAGGGATACATGATCAGAATAAGTGGAAAGGCACCCATTCCTTCATTCAGTGAAAACTGAGCACTTGCTACAGACACTGCTCTAGGCTTTGGAGACACAGCACTATACAAAACAGAGAAAAAGCCTTTCATCTAAAAACATTATTCCAGTGGGTAGCATAACCCAACACCAACAACAGGACAATTCACCTTAAATTAATCCATATAGTTCACAATATTGACAAAAATATTAATAGGATGTTTGGTGGGTACAAGATATATTTTATATTAGTACAAAAATGGAACATGAACCCTTGCAGACATTCTGCGAACTGTGTTCCCCAAGCCTGGCAGCTTGCTGCTCAATGTTGCTCTGAAAAGACAGGGACAGCCTACGCATGAAGCCTACCTGAATGAGGTAATGGAGTTATGACTAAACTACCAATTGTATCACCCTCAAGAGAGATTATAAAAAGACCCATACATCCCAGAAGTGGGGGCCTGGAGTGGGGAGGCAAAACCTCTGCCCTCAAACACTGGTTAGAGTCTAGAACTGTTTAGCCGTACAAAAAAAATAATCATAAAGAAAGAAAAACAGAAGTTTCATAGGCATAGTGCACTCAAAACCCATATTAGACCACTTTAGCGTTTTGTAATACTGTTTACACGGAATAAAGGTACGACATGATAATTGTAGTTTGTTCTGTGAAACTCTCAGTGTGTGGAGATTCTTACCTCATTGCTTATTTTAAAAATATAATTAGCCTTAGACCAGAAAATGGGAGTTACCTCTAACTTTGAAAGTTCCCTAGAATTCAGTGGCTAAATGAGCAAGGAATTACAAAGTGAACACTTGTAAAAACAGTTGCTGACAGAGGACAGACAAAAAATGATGATTATAATGGAGAGTGATAAGGGCTATGACAGAGTCAATAGATGGAGGCCTATCATGTTCCAACCTGGGAGGATCCCTCACAGGCAAGGCGAGTAGTGGGTTCTGGACAGTTCCCTGGAGGAGTCATCACAGAGAGAGGCCTTGAAGACAGCCTCGCTCAGCAAAAGTGGGGGTGGAGGGAGGTGTTAAAGGCCAAGGAGCAACACAGGCCATTTACTGCACAGGTTCTGCCTAGTGCAAGTCCATTCTTTTTTTAAAAAATTTTTTATTTATCCATTTTCCTTTAGAGAGAGAGGAAGGGAGGGAGAAAGAGAGGGAGAGAAACATCAATGTGTGGCTGCCTCTTGCATGCCCCCTGCTGGAGACCTGCCCACAACCCAGGTATGTGCCCTGACTGAGAATCAAACTGGTGACTCTTTTGTTCGCTGACCAGAGCTCAGTCCACTAAGTCACACCAGCCAGGGCTGCAAGTCCATTCTTGATATTAGGGGAAAAGCATTCAATGCTTCATCATTAAATAAGTTAGTGTTTGG